AGCATATAACTTAGTGACCTGCGAAACCCAAGAGAAAATAGGGGAGATGTTCTAGACATTATAATCAGCCATTATTTGAGCTTGAACATATTATAAGGTCCGAAAAAGCCCTAACAGAAACTTGGCAACAAGAAACTCCTTTTATTTTGCTAAGTAGTTGTACCGGTGCTAAAAACCTAATATTGAGTAAGTTCATCTCATTTCCCCTTCAAGGCATCATATTACTCCTAAATAGATTTATCATCCTGTTGCAAAGAGAGAATGTCAGAATTGAGAGTATACATTTAGGAGATATAGTTGTTCTAAAAGCAAGTGAAATGGACAAAATCCTGCATTCCAATGGCAATCTCTCAAAACATAACAATAGATGCAATATTGGATTCAAAGCTATCGAGCATCCTTGGTATATCACCTATGAGTTTCAATTAAAACTTTTGATGTTTGGCCAACACTCTCAAAACTAGTCAACATTAAAACTATTAATGAGTTTCAATTGAAATCACTGATACATAAAATCATAGTATACATCAACTCGCTGTGCAACAAAACTTATTCTATTCCATAACATTTGAGCTTCCTACGCCTGATAAGTGTTTTAAAAAACAATAGGTACATTTCATGAAATTAAAAAGGGGCTTCAATCCCTCCTAAAACTTTACATTTGAGTGAGACCACAAGCACTCGAGATACCCTTTTTGACATTGCATGACTTAATTGATGACAAATGCTTTTATTATTTAATAATATTATAGCTTATTTCATATTATATTATTATGTATTGGCACTTTAAGCTATTGGATATAATTATAACAACAACAACAACAACAACAATAAAATAATAATAATGTGCAAAATCCTTAAACATAATTATCATCCTCGCAAGTTCACAATTATTTTAAATTGATCAAAATCGCTAAAAAACTTGCTAGTAGATTGTATGATTTACATAAAATAATTATCATATAAACACTTATGTTTGATTTATAATTTCATAAGAATAAGTGGTTTATCATAAGCTGACAACGGTGGTCAGAGAATCGTAGTCGGAGTTTGGTCTAATGACGACGATTGGCATTATTACAACAACAACAATCGGGCAATGAGTCAACAGAGATGGTTAGGCGATGGTCTGACGTTGATGATTGGACGGTGGTCTGATGATATTGATCAGACTATGGTCCAGTGGCGATGATCCAACAATGACAATCGAGCTGCGATCTGACAGTGGTGCTTGAATAGAGCTACAAGATTCTTCAAACTTGTGAGGATGCTGAGGTGGATGAGTGGCTTTACTCTTAGAGATAGGATATGAAACGAGCATATACATGAAAAGGTTGGATTAGCTCCAGTGGAAGATAGGATTGGAGAGAGTCACCTTAGATGGTTTGGTCAGATAAAACGACAGCATTTCGATGACTCGATAAGAAGAGTAGATGTATTAGATTTGGCTTGTGTTAAGAAAGTTGGAGGTAGACCTAAAAAGACTTGGTTAGAAAATATTAGAAATGACCTTTCTTTATTAGATTTAAGTGAGAATTTGACTCTTACAAGGACATAATAGAGAAAAATGATTCATGTAGCCAACACCACGTAGTGGGATAAAGGCTTGATGTTGTTGTTGTTATTGTTGTTGGGGTTGGGGTTGTCTCGTTAAGAGGTTTGGTTTGACTATAAATTTATCGAAATTAGAATTTGGATGGTCTTAAATTTAATCCAGAGTTGCTAATTTAAATATGCATCAAGATCCGTGTTTGATCCAATTGATTACGTATCAATATCAAACATATTACTGCTTCATTCTAAGAGAGCACCAGCTAGCAAACCAGTAATCAAACATTGCCTTAACGATATGATACAGCAGCAAAGGCAGATTATTAGTCTAATACAGTGACACTCATACGGAACTCAGGGAAACCCCGTAAAATCCAGAGATTCAACATAATACGTCAAACACACAAAAAAAGAGCGTACAAGTAGATAGATCCTGCGACGGCGAGTGAACAAAACCTGATAAAGTTCTCGAAGTCAATATAGGAATCAACGTTGAAAGCAAGTGACGGAGGGCACAGACGATCTTCTCATCCGATGGGATCGTGGACCTTCTTCTCGGCGCTGAAACCAGGAACCCCTTGCCTGTAAACCTCTTGCCATTGCGGAAGCGGAGGCCAGAGCTTGGAAGGCCCGGAGAAATCCGTGGAGGCGGAAGGGTTCGAATTAATATTTAAGTTTTTTTGTTTTGTTTTTGGGAAATATTTAAGTAATATTAATTGAAAAAAAAAAGTGACAGATACGTAATTTATATAAAAGAATGGGTATTTTGTGGATTGTGACGCATTTATTACAGTAAGAAAATTTAAATGAATATTATATTGTTTAATTTATTCAAAAAAATATATAATATATTAAACTGATTTTAAAAGAAATTTAAAATTTTCATATTATATATCAGATATTATTTTTAATATAATTAAATTATTAAATAGAATAATTAAAGTATTAAAAAATATATAATTATTGCTAAAATATTAGGAATGCTTAATATTGAATGTTTTCTAAAATAATTTTTAATTATTTTTTTAATTAAAAAATTTTATACTAAAAAGTTATTTAAAAAAATAATGAGCCTTAGATTTCATTTGGGATGGCTTTCTTACTGCTTCTTAAAATAATTTTTTAGTAAAAAAATTTTGTACTAAAAAATTATTTTAAAAAACAATAATAAACCTGTCTCAAATGAAATCTTAATCTCTATGCTTTGGAGATAATTATTCATTGATTAGCATTTAGGAGAGCAGAAAGATAGGTTGAGGCAAGTTATGTTTTCATAACTATATGAAGAATGGCTCAACTAACTCTTAAGTTAGTTAAGATATATTTAATGAATGATTAGAGGTCAATATTGTATTAAATTTATTTTATAGCCATTGATTACTAATATGTAACAAATTTTCCATGGCAATAGCCTTTGATGAAGGTTATTTCTAGACCTTCATTTTATTTATATGATTAAGTATTACAACATTTTATGGTGAAACTTCTTACCAAATTAATTCATTCAATAAATATTATGTCATATATGGTAATTAGAATTATTACCGTTATTTAGAGTTATTGAAATTATTTATTATCGCATAGTGGAGGAACTAACCTCTTTTAGGTTGGGCAAAATATGATTACGAAATTTATGATTTTATGTATGAAATAGAAATAAAAATTAGAATTTAGGCAACCATGTCTATTGAAGGTGAGTAAAATAGTTAAAATATTTATTTTTTTTAATAATAAAAAAAATAAGATTTCACTGTGAGCTCTTCTTAGTTCCACCAATTTGTCACATAAGTATTAGAATTTGTCTAATATTTAGAGTAAAAATTTATAATATTTAAAAATATAATATATCATCATTATTAAGAATATATATATATATATTTATTATATTTTACTTATTAAACAATTCTTTTGATTTTATATAGGCATATTTATATTAATTTTTAGATTCAACCAATCAAAGAAATAAACTTTTCATGATTTCCAACATGGGGTAACATCTTACTGTTGATGAGATATATAAAAATTGAAGTTGATGATAGGCATTGATATTTTTAATGATGATGGATGACGTTCTTATTTAGTGTCGACGACATATATCATTATTGTTTAAAATGGCATATGTCGGTATTGGTGATAATGGGCAACAATAACATAGGCATCGTCATCAACATTATATATGATAGCAATGGAGGGCGATATCTTATTAACGTAAGTATCACATTAACCTTATTGATGATGATAACTGCATATGTAATTGACAATGATATCAACCTTATTAACAAAATTCTAATTTGCTCATTCATTTTTTCATTTATTGACACCCTTAATGCTTCTTACCATGACATTGTGAGTTTATAGATGAATATTAACATAATTCTAATTATTAAAATCATTCATTACCATCTAAACATTAAAATATACATCAAATATTTATAACAAAAATCAATAATATTTTATTAATTTGCTATATCTTCACTATTTACTACAAATCCACAATTAATTTTATCCAACATACCAAATCATAGAGAAATGTGCTCATAGACACACATCATATTGACATACGTAAGAGATTATTACATGCAAAATATGTACATAACTTTTCGTCCGGACTCCAATCACGTGAAGACATAAATTTTTTCTTGTACACATCGAATATACAAAGAGAGGAAAATTCACATAACTTCACATAATTAAAGCTCATATGATGCACATAACAATTTTTTGGGAGGTTTGCATACATACCACTTTATTTTATATTATTTATATATCTACCACCTAAAACTTTAATATTACATGTCTACTAGCATATAATAAATATGAGTGCATAAAATAAAATATTAAAATTTATAAAATTGTATGAGTGATATATTTGATATTAAAATTTTATGAGTTCCAGCTATGAAATATTAAAATTTTAGATGTTAAATATCTAAATAACATGAAATAAAGTGACATTTATGTAAATCCCCTAATTTTTTACCATACAAAAACCTTTATGAGTTCTATGATATTATTAAACGGCAAACACAAGTTAGAATGTTATGAGCTCACATGAACTAAAAAGTTCCATGCATGCACATCTCTTTATGACCTGATAGAATTAGTAATGGCATACTTAGAAAAACATATATTATAAGGTAAAAATCAGATTTTTATAATGATAAACTCATAATATAACTATGATAAAGATCTATACAATCATAAAAGACAGATAAGCTCATAATTACAGTCCAAATTTGACATATTCTTACTACTTTCTTCACATAAAAGCATATCATATTGCGATAAAAGACATTTATATGATCAATATATGTTAAAATACACGTCTTTATGTATATATAAATATAATCAAATAATTATAGAGTCGAACTCACTAATTATCAAAATCAAATACAATCAAACACAAATGATGAGCTTCTTAATAGGCCTATTTGGAGAAAGATGAATAATTAGACCAACATGTTCGCAGAGAAATGGTTAGTTGAAAGTTTCATCACATTGGGAACATTAAGGCCCTAAATGGCCGCGAGGTCTAGGAAGATTTTGCAGTATCTACATTACAAGAAGATAAGAAACCTCTAACAATAGAAGAAAAAGAGAAGAGAAGAAGAAGAAGAAGAAAAAGAACCCAGTCACCCAAGCAGTTCCAGCAACCCAAACCAGAGGATACATATGTTACATGGAATAGCTACAGATAGTGAAAATATCACAAATATCAATCAGTTAGTGAGCTCAATCACAAATTTACCAACTACAGACTCCAATCTCTGCATCAGTTGCAGACTGACTTGAGTCTTTTTGCAGCCTGGACGAACCCGGAGATTACCTGCAACTCATCCAATTGCTTTATTTTGAATGGAAAGCAATTGGGTTTTTGGAACGTTTAGAACCAATTCTTTAGAGGAAGCTTTACATAAACATTGAAAATGTATCATGCAAGGCTGGAAGAAGACATACCTGCGACATGAAATGCCTTTGAACCACATCAATTAACTGCTCTTTGGAAGGGTTAGGGATAACGCCCACTTGTTCCATCTACAAAAATTACAACATTTTAGAGAAGGTTAAGGAGCAGAGCCACAAAAGATTTCTGCTTCGTTTGGGACGCGGCTTTGTTTCTGCTTATTAAAACGACTTTTTAATAAAAAAAAATTAAAATTTTAAGAAGCAAGAAAAAAGCCGTCCCAAACGAAGCTTTCATCAAAAGCATTTTAGGAGCAGATCGATAGCGTTAGTGAGGCGTTTTACAGATTCATTTGATTCCATGTAAATTTCATCACAAACCTGTCAATTCTGAGTTGTGTTAACTTACTAATAGGCTCATTTTGTTCTTTTTGGCATTTTGATAGAATTTTAACTTATTTATTCATAACTTTTATTGTTCTATAACAATTTCCTACTTCAAATTAGAAAAAAAATGAAAATTTCATGACAAGTGTGGCTGCCGCATGACAGGGAAAACAAATCACTTTATGCGTTCGAGCCTTCTAAAACATTTCATGGAAAGTAAAAGTTAGAGAACCTACAAGGTTGAAATGATTCCAATATCTCCATAATGCCGTAGTTTCTAGCTTGCTCAAGTCGACTCGCTGTAAAAATAAAAAAGCAATCAAAATATAAATAGTAAAGAACAGAAGTGACGAACTGTCAAAAAAGAAACTAGCAAAATGCTCCATAGATGTTCAATCGTGTGAAAGCATTAAGAGGAAAGAGGCACCAAAAAAGTAAGCAGAAGATTTAGACAAAAGGAACAACATAAAGCCCATAAAAGCATCCTGACCCACCATCATTGCCAAAGCCACATGTGATGAGCTAGCCAGTAATTTAAATTCAAAAATTTGGCTCCAGGTGTACCACAGATGAAATAAAAGACCTGTTTATAGAACCACATACCGTCGTTGCCCGCGACGATGAAATGGAACCTTTAGACTGCGAGTCGCAAGAATGCGATCTGCTGAATGATTTATGAGCCGAAACTTTATGAGACCTACTTCTTGATTTGTGTGGCTTTTGTGATTGCATTTCATCAGATGCTGCAAGAGAACCAATGTTGTAAAAGGAATACAAAAGAGGAATAAAGGTAAAAGAACAAATGAATGACAGTATTGAAAAGATGTTTCGAATAATTAAAAGGTAATGAATGAGGGCAAATCAATCCAGCTTAAGTAAGAAGCATGCCAAATCTTTACAGAAAATCAACTGCTCTCCTAACAGTGCAGACTATGAATGGTGCTGCTCATCCTTGAAAAAATGTTAGAGGAGAAATTTTAGGGTAGTGCGAGTGGAAAGAGAGAAAAAACAAAAAAGTGACTTTGCTATTGTTCTTTTTTAACAAAATAAATTAAAGGTCATTAAAAGGAGGATTATTGTGTGCGGACACAAATCTGTCTGGTCCGCGCTTGGTACCGAGCCTTGGTACTGTGCTTGGTAGCGAGATCGATACATTTTTGGGGTGATGTGACGTATTTTTGTTGGTCTCTAGAAGATGTCCGGACTCCGCACAGAATAAAAATTCCATTAAAAGGGACAATAATCAATCAAATAATCAAATTTATAAATTATGGCAGTAAATACTTAGATAAAGATCCAGAAGAGCAAATTAAGTCACCTTTATCATTCACCATGGACACATTAACCTCACTAAATAGTCCACAGCCACCTTGCATCACTAGTGGTAGGAATTTTTTAGATCTGTATTTAGCTGTTGCATGGCTAGTAGTAGGAATTCTTTAGATCTGTATTTTATGTTATTAACCCTTAGTTTTAAGCTTTTTCCCTTAAGAGTTAGAATAGAATAAGCGGCTAAGAGATCTGATCACCCTGTCTGTAGTGCAAGTCCATGATACGTCCCATAAAAGGTCCCAATATATATTTAAATTTTTGACTAAAATATGTTACTTATAGCAATCTATCATAAAGTGATAACTAGGAGGCTCATTTAGAGAAAATATTAACAGAGACCATAATACTATTCAAGAATGGAAAATCAAGAACTTGCAAGTAGCAATATATCACGAGATCCAAACGAATAAAGAGTTGCATAGAAAAAGAAAACCAGTTCCACAGTGTCTAAAAAGACATCCATACAAGGTTTAGCAAAAGCCAGTAAGGATTTTGATAATGGTGTCAACAAAGACATTTATAGAAGGTGAGCAAAAGCCAAAATCAGGATTTTGATAATCGTGTCTGAGAAGGGATAGATAGAATGTTAGCAAAAGGCCATTAGGATTTTGATTCACCAAAAGCTAGCATGTTATATGTTAGAATAGAAAACTAAGCTTGCTCTAACAGATGTTGCACATAGAATAAAATTAAAATATTTAAGTGATTTACCCATATCAGAACCATTCCATTGCACATTTTCACATTCGAGATCATCATCATCCTCACGGCCAGTTGGTGCTTCAATTACACTAAGAGCATTTCTTTGAAGCTTCACTTCAATGCCATTTGTTAAAACCTGCAACCACAAATTATTCTAATTTTCTTAAACCAACTTTAGTTGCTTAATAATTATTTAGAAGAAAGCAAAACTGGCACAAAATTAGAAAAACGTTCATCAACTCTATCATGCAAGAAAAGGAAAACAAAGAATGGAACAAGTTTGAATACATGCATGAAGCACAAAATATGAAGCAACATCAAACCCCTACCCATAGAAGCAAACTGCTGGTATTTAAAAATATTCAAAAAATTAAGAGAATGTTATAAATCTAGCATAGACAATCATAGAAATTGAGCTAATCAAATTGCTTCACTCAAAATAGAAAAAGAATAGAATCAAATCCCAAGCCGGTTCAACAGGAGTCTACAAAAACAAGCCAAATCTCACATCCACAATTTGAGGACTCAGACAATAAACTTCTCACATATATTCACTCCCTAAGATGATCCAAACAACCAAAAAAGCTGGAAACCAAGACAAAGAACAGATTGCAAACAAACTTTGAAGGTTTAACAGAAAAAAAATTCAGACGTCCAAGCACCAAAAGAGTTTTACAAAACACCATCTCATATTAACAAGAGAAACAAGTTCAATCATCTTACCGTTAAGTATGCTCTCTATAATTCAAATCATAAAAAAATATCATGAGCGTGAAAGAAGATTAGAAAACTAGGAACCAACCATAATTCCACTTTCATGGCAACACAAAGCTAAACCATGCAATATGGCATTACAAAAGAAGCTAATGCATGAAAAACTCTCACAGTGCCAATAAATTACAAAAAGAAAACCAGTTAAAAAGAACCTGAAATTAAAAATTAAAGTAAGCCATCTAATCCAAATGCTCAGCATCAGTCGAAGAAAAAATAAAGGAAGCGGGGATACTAACCAAAAAAACTAGTTGTGCTAAACTAGAGGAGGAATAAAAGGAATGCCTATTCATAGAACAAGAGTTAATTGCAAAGTGAACAAAACTTCTAAAATTGCTATGCAGAAGCAGAAATCAACGGTTGACAAAGATCTACAAATTTAAAGCCCATTGAATTGAAATTATCTACATTTACTCATTACCCTAGCCCGTTCTAATAAAAACAAGCCATGCAGAACCTGCCTGCTCTAATCAATAACCAGTCATTAGGGCAGCCGCAAAAAGTAAACCCACCCAATTATCAGAAAACAACAACGAAAGCACGTAAATTTGCAGGAGCAAATAAACAATGCGAACAAATATATAGATCAAAGTTCCACAAGAAAAAAAAAAATCATAAATCACAAAGAATTGCTTCGGATTTTCAAGCCCAAGTTCACCGGAAAAAAAAATGATTTTTAAGCCCCAAAACCCTAGAAATGAACTACACATAAGATGCATAATTCAAGAGAGAAGCCCCCCACCACAAAAAAAGCTGCATGCAGGAAACCCTAAATTTTGAAGTAGAAATTAATAATTACGCTAAACTGAAATTGAAACCCTAAAATTCAAATTACGAAATTAAGGCATCTCTTACATCTAACCCTAACAATTATTGAAGCAACCAGGAATAATCAATTCAAAGAATCAAAACCACAATAAACTTTTAAAAAATAACCAAAAAAGGAGTTCCCTTTACACGAACAAGCATCCACTAACTAGAAATGCAAGAAATTCGAACTCAAAAAAAGGAAACCCCGAATCCAATACCAAAACTGACACAATTCTACCACATTGCCACATCAGAACCATATTTCCAAACAAATCAAGCCCTCAAAACCCCTCTCCACAATCCCAACTTCCAGCAAAAACCAGAAACACCGAAACCAACCCCAATTATCGGAAAAGCGCCAGTAAAAAAATGGGTAAAAGAAATCAAGCAAAGAATCTCAATTACCAGCCAATGCCAGCCTCCAAGCCCCACAGCCTTCTTGACTACCCCCTGTAGCCCAACGAGCACCGACTTAGTCCGGTTATTCCCCGTGACTACCACCTTGGTGTGCCTAGGAAGCACCGAAAGCTCCTCCTCGCTGCTCTCTCCACAACTCCCGCCGTACCCTAATCGGCTCATCCCACCGGCGGCAGCCACCAGCATTTCTCACCTCACCAATCCCAAACTAATCCGAGAAAAAATCAACGAACGCGCAATTAATCAAGATAAAGTACAAGATCGGGCATTGCAGGCTGAATTTTGCTGGCCTGATACTGAAATTCAGAAGAAAAATTAGGGAATTTGGAGAAGAAAAAATTGAAAAGCAGAGAAGAGAGTGAAACAATGAAGAAGAAAATGAGAGCGACTGTGCTTTCTCAGACACTCTCTCTCTATCTCAATCCTTCTATCCTTTTTCTTACTCTTTGCTGCTCTGAATCCCGACGACTCAACCCTAACCAATAGGATTCTACCACGTGCCCTCTTGGCCTCTGTGAACGGCCCGCGCTGCCTCGGATACGGGTAGCGGTTACCGGAGGCGGAGATTTCTAGCACGCCTAGTTACCGCCTGAAGAAGAACGACCGTCAAAAACAAACCATTTTTTGAAACCCTGTGAGATAGAATCTCCAGTTGTTTTGATATCTCACGTGGTCGATTTTTAGAGTCCACATTTCGGTCCCCAAGTCGGAGCGTAGAAGCGCACCTAATAAAGATGGGAGAATAGTGATTGAAATTTTGGCTGTCTTTTTTTATTATTATTTAATTTTTAAAATTTATGTTTCAGAAAGCAATCACATGGAGGTATAGTAGGAATTGTTGTACGTAGTCACGTAGATATTGCAGACAATATCTGGATTCGATTTTTTATTTTTATTTTATTTATTTATAACTGAATATTAATGCTTAAAATTTAATAAATAAAGCTATAATTATTAATTAAAATTATACTTAAAATACTAAATCACTCCATCTTATAAAATATATAAATTCATTAAATTTATTTTTTTTTAATTTATTTCATAGCTAAAAAAATTATAATTTTATTTTCAAAGAAATAATTTTGATGATATTATCATTTCTCATTAGTGATTCCATAGGTACACAATATCAAAGTATACGTGATGTAATGCAATGATATTATGGAGACTTTGAATAGTAGGATATGATTGTAAAAAGTCAAAATTTTAAAATAGTTTGTTTTACAAATAAAATAATAAAAAATATGGGGTATTTTTTGAGACATATTTTTAAAGTAAAAAAAAGCATAATTTTTTTAGTGAAGTAAAAATAAAAATAAAATAAAATTAATACTGATCGTTGCCTCAGCCTCAGCAAATGACTCCTTTTTTTTTCAAACCAAAAATTTTATTCATAATAAAAACAGGGATACAACAACCGAAACCAACAATCAGAAGTACAATACATTAAGTTCAAAAATAACCATAAATCAAAGGGTACAAAGTGAGAAGCGAGAAGGGACTAAGTACGGAGGTCCCTGTACACCAAACTTGCAGCCAAACACGGTCCATCCTAAGGTGCAAGTGAAGGAAGGGACCACCAAGCAAACGAACGAGGCACCCCGGTTGCCAACCAGCCCAACTAGCAAGGGGACAGGGGACCTCCTCATCATCGTCCACAATACAAAATCCATGGAAGAAATAGCAAACACCAAAAACCAGCTATTTCTTTATGCCTTTATTTTTTTGCTTATTACCATCCACATAAAGAGAATCCCGTTTAATATAATGATCCACTAGCTTCTCCTCAAAATCATTATCCGATTCCTCAGAAGAAAAGTCATCCTCCAAAACCAACCAGTCAGTTTGAAACAATACATCATTTTTTCAAGACTTAGCCATATGAGATTTCATATCATCATTAGACATAACTGAAATAGGGACATTTACGAAGTTATAATTGCCCTTAAAGTCATCATTAGGAATAGAGCCCGAAAGTTCATGAAAATGCTTAGTCGGAACCACGATAACATATGAGAAAACATCCTCAGGAGTCACAACAGCCATCGGAGGAGAAAAAACATTTTCACTAAGTTTCCTACAAGTCGAGTCAGGAGTAACATAAGGCAAATCCTCCTCAGCCAAAACACACGGGGCAGAGGCATTATCCACACAGGATTTAGCATTTTTAAAGTTCAACATAACATTAGCTTCACTTACGCAAACTCGAGGGGCCAAGGTAGCAGGAGCTACCCCATCTAAAACCAACTTAACAGGAAGAGGGGAACCAAGAGTGTGAGAAGTAGACACAGGCAAAACTTCAACAGAAACAGGGGAAGACAACTCAGATAATTGGTCCCCAATAGCAACAACATCCACATCAGTATTCCCAACAACAACATCGACATGACTACAATAAAGGTCAACTCCAGCCTTCACAATAGCAGCTTTGGGGTCCGATAATAAGAATAAATTATTAACAGTTGGAGAGTTAACCAAAGAGAGAACACCAGGCTGAGGATCCCCAGCAACCTCCCGCTGATCAAAATTCATAATAGTACCAGCTGGTTTAACATGAACAGTAAAGGGCCGCTAGATTTAGACCTACATTCCACCTTGGCATGATTGATAGACTGGCATTGAGCATAAAAAAGGGGGGAAAGACTCCAATTCAACCTTTTGAATGTAGCCGGGCTTCTCAAGACCAATCCAGACACAGTCCGGATAAGTTTTCGTTATAGTCATCTCAACCAGAACTCTAGCAATAGATGGCCTAGAGCCCAAAGAAGTGGCAGAATCAACCTTAAAAGGGTAACCAAAGATCCACCCTAACGCATGAAGAATCCTCAGGTTAAAGAGATGAGGACGAAGACTTGGGAAAGATACCCATATAGGAATAATCGGGCATTCGACACTAATGTTCAAAGAAGGAGTCCATTTCGTTAACTTCATATAGCAATTAAAAACCGGGTAAGAACGATGGCTGAAAACCCAGCTGTAGTCTAGATCATTAGAGAGCTTAACCAGAATATGCAAAAAATTGAGCAAAGTTGCCAAAAAATTAGCTATAAGCTTTAAATTGAAAAAAAAATTCCTAATGGAATCAAGACTGGGTCGCTGGGCAGGAAAAAAACTAATAAGCGAGAAACAGAACGGAGCAGCCAGTGCCTTAATTTCCTCCTTAGAAATTCAGAGAGAGGGTAAACCACAAAATGAAGAAGACCTAAGCTCCGGAAAACTCACATTAGACGGACTACCAGCTAACGCATCGGTGAAAGAACGCGAATAATTGAAACCAAACAAAAAATCAGGATCCAATAGGCGCTTCGGTGCTATTCCAGCCACAAATGGCTGGAGAAAAAATGAAACAACACAAAAAGGATAAAAAACTAAGGATGCAGGGAAAAGAGAAGACTTCCCCGAGCAAAACGGCGGCGGAGGGCCGCCCGAGGGGCGCCCCTTAGCAAACCGTAGAAGGTGGGATGGACGCCACAGAACGAAAGAGCTAGAGCTTGTTTTTGTTATTAAGTATATGCAAATAACTCCCTTTAATTTGGGGAGAACCGTCCGAATTTGTTGTGCATTTACTGAGTATTTGCTATGTATTTGTAAATACAAAAATACATAGTTGTAAGTATTACTAAGTATTTTATGAATATTAGATGAGTATTTTGTAAGTATTCGCTAAGTATTTTGTGATTTACTAATACTCAATAAATACTTAATAAATACACAGCAATCCGGATGATTTTTATCAAATCCACACAAAATAATTTCTCCAGGTAAAGTGGGCTTGGAGCAAGTCGTTCACTTTTTTTTTTTAATATTATGGAAGGACAAATAAAAAAATTGGAACGAATATATAACAAAAAAAAACAATCGGAATGGATATAAAATGAAAAAAAAAACAAAAAAAAAGTATGACAAAAAAAACGGAATAAATGAAAAAAAAAAACAAATAAAAAGTATAAAAAATGAAAAAAAAGCTCCAAAAAAAAACATTGAAATGATAAAAAATGAAATAAATAGAAATATACTGCCATAAACGACTAGTGAAGACCTTTTATTTTCTTTTTTTTTTTCTTTTTTTTTATTCTATTTATTATCTTTTTATTTTATTTTTATTGTTTTTGTTTTTTTAATCTTTCTTTTTTTCTGTTTATCCTTTTTTTAGGATTGGATAATAGACTTTTTTTTTGCTTTATTTCTTTTCTTATTTTTATTTTGCGTTTTGTATCCATTCTAATTATTTTTTTTCGATTTTTTATTTATCCCGATTGTTTTTTTTTTTCTATAATTTAATTATTATTTTCTTTCATTTTTTGTTTGTATTTTCATTTTTATTTGTTTTAATAAAAGTTTCATGGGCCCAGTTGTTCGAATTTTTATTAGGTCCGGACACCTGACGTAGCTCTACATTCGGACGTCAATAAAATGTCGCCACGTACTCTTACTCTTTACCGCGCGGCACGACGACCCGACCCGGAACATAAACCCGGTATTGCTATGTTCGTATATTGCTAGGTATTGCTAGGTATTGCTTGGCAATAACGAGAAATATTGCTCTGTTAAGACCAATACCGAGCAATACCTAGCAAAACCGAGGTATTGCTCGGTATTGCTAGGTATTGGTCTTGACAGAATGGTATTACTCGTTACCGAGTAATACCGAGCAAAACCTAGCAATACCCTGGTCTGTACAAATCAGCTAATACATAACAATATTGGGTTCCAGTCCGGGTCGGGTCGTCGGGCCGCGCGGTAAAGAGTAAGAGCACGTGGCGACATTTTATTAGCGTCCAGATGTAGAGCTACGTTAGGTGTCCGAACCTAATAAAAATTCAAGTTGTTCACTCATTGAATGACTTGCTTTGCCCCAATTCATGTCACACTCGTGCTCCAAGCCCATGCTCTCGCCACATTGCCTCTCTCGCCATGTCATATGCCCGACTATAACCAGTTATTTGCTAGGCAGTGAATAGCCACGGGGTTTGGAGGCCCGCAGCTTTCCTCTCTCCATCACTAACCAACACGAGTGTACAACGCCGGAGTGATAAGTGAAAATAATGTATTATTTTATGTGTTATATTTTTTGTAAAAATTTATAATTTTAGTTGTATTGTATAGGAAAAATACATAACACTACAGGAATTTCGAAAAGCCGCCGGAAAAGTGGCTGCCGGAAAGCCGCCGGACAAGGCCGCCGGTAATGGGTGATTTTCCTGTAGTGTAAAATGCATACAATTAATTCTAACTTTCATATTGTGTTGTGGCATCAGAAAAAATAACCCCGCAGCGCCATCAAAGACATCATTAGAGCACTAGTATATCAGCATTGTAATGCTGACTTCTCTTCGAGCAGCACCACAATGGTCAAATTTTAACTTTGCAGCATCAAGTTCTTTATTGTCAAGTGCCATTGCGTCACGATCCATAACGACTCAAT